CTGGGAAAATACAAATTTATATTTCTTTTACACCATTAAGCAACGTTACGTATCTGAATACCACAGTTCTGGATGTCATGAAATGTTTTCAGGCCTTCCGAAAATAAATTTATGCAAAACGTTCGTAGTCGTTCCTGGAAGTCGTTCTTGAGTAACAGGGAAACGAGTTGAGTAAGGGTATTCAGGTTGAACACGGTCTGCAAATTCGGATTCTGGTTTACACTACCGTCCAATCAGCGCTTTTGCCTACAGAGAAAGTTTGTAATTTGTTAGGCTGTGAAAAAAATATGCTCGAGTTGTGTTGTCACTCAGAGTTGATGGGGACTGTTCCATAAAGCCACCGCAGTTTAATCTCCTGTAACATCGTTATTCGAGCCATCTGGTATACACAGATGGATGATTTCGGTAAGTTAGCCGAAGGAAATAATCCACGATTTTTGATGTTAAGTCTCAAGTTTGCAAATTTGCGAACAGGGGAAATTGGTATTCAGGCAAATCCTGGTCACAAAATTCCCCAACTCTGTTATTGGAGATGTAAACTGTCCGTGCTGTCAATATTGCTACGCTATTTCTCACACACAAATAGATCGCAACATCAAGGAAGTACGGTTATTTAGCGAATTAAGGTATCTCACGTGTACAACACTGTGATCCAGTGTCATGCACCGACTCACCCATGGAACAGGTCTTTGTTCGCCCATGTAGGTAACAACTTCCCCTTCTCGAAATCGTCAAAGCAACTTCTATAAGACTCGATACACATGGTTGCTGACTTTTCCAACTAGATCCGGTGCACGGATTCCGATTCATCTCGTTCTTCAGAGGAGACTGTCGTGAATATACACCGCAGGAATCTCACAACCACCTACAACAAACTTCTCTGTCGTGGCAAAGATACCAAGCGAATTCCATCGTATCTTGGCAAATATCTTAAGGAAGGAGAAGAGTAGATATTAGTAACAGAGACTGTTGCCGATACTCTTATGATGTCTCGCCCGACCTAGATGTACCGGGCTATCATGGTGGTTCAGCTGCTATGCTCCGACCACATGCGGGATAGGCTAGTTGGAACTAAGGTGCTCAATGTCTGTGCGCTTCAGAAATAAGCAGTCTAAAAAAGCGCGCGGAAAGTAATGGGATATTCGTCAGACGGCCAGCATTTCCAGTTTAATGGCGGCAGTGATTTAGCTTCCTCCTGTGAAAGGGAGGATGACGTTGGTCCTTAAAACCCTATAACACGACCATCAAACGACTGCTCGTGGCTGCTGATGCGTTACCCATTACGGTTGAAATGTGTACCTCATAACCCTCACCCTGAAGTTGTTCAGACACTCCAACATTTGCTTTAGACCTTAAGGTCAATGGCTAGAAACGTGTTACCCGAATAACTACCTTATTTCCAAATTCAGCAATCAAAATGTCATACTTTCTTGCATGACTCAGACGACAAAGAGAAGATTACATAGTGAACGACTGAAATATGGAACACCGGGAATCTCCTGGATATGGACAAACTGAATGGACTGGAATTGCGAATAAACCTTGTTTTAAAATGCGCTCTTGAGCTACGGAATGAGCCTCGCTCAGTGAAACCCGCTGACTGGTCAGGGGATTCAAAAATCATAACCAAGAAATCCGATGTGAGTATGCTGTCTGATCTGAAGGTACGGATTGCATGAATTAGGGTCTAATGAAGTGACCAAACTTCATCATCTCGAGGGTGATGACGATCCGTCTGATATGGACAAGATGAGTCACATTTTTGGTGCCAAAATCCCCACAGTGTCACACAGACAAGGGAGGTAAAATCATTCTTGAATCAGCTGTGGGACCTTATCAGATCTGCACCTCTAGGTGACTACTTCTTCGCTCTGGGCGATTTCACCTTTCGTGTGGATATGAACCGGGAAACCTGGGAAATATGGGGCATCGTTGTGGAACAGAATTGACAAGCGAAAAAGATGCAAGACTGGTAACTTTCAATAACATGCACTTGGTGTGATGTGAGCGGACACCGTTTTGCACGTGGAATCGTTCAGTAATTGTGCGTGGGCACCTAATCCGCAAAGGGATCTTGGTCACAAATGTTACGTGCTCAGTTGGCTGTAATGGTGATCACTTTGCGGCACGTGACAAGGTGCGCGTCGCTCTTGACGTCGTTGACAAGTAAGAAACCCAGTGAGGCTGAATGTTAGCAATCAGAACAAGAAGGAGCTGTCAGAATTTTGCGAAGGCTGGTGGACAAAGAAGACCAGTCGCTCCATGTGTAAAAACGTATGCAGTCGGATTCTGTGGAACAAAGACTGAATCATTTATGTGGAAATGACCCAAAGTGTACATCTGGCTTCAGGAGAAGTTAGCATTCGTCAAAACCACCCAAAATCCGACTAATACGTTGGCACGAAAGCTACTCACAAGAGACAGAACCGCGCTTCTGAAACAGGCGAAAAACCAAAGGACGAACTATGGTTCAAACAAAGTTAGGCACTTTGATCTTATTCGAACTTCTGTTATTTTTCCGGACTGTAAAAACAATGCTGGAAAAGAAAGTCACTGTCCTCGACCGTTAACCTACAAACAGATAGGCGGAAACCTCAGAAAATCAAACTAAATTTTGGTGGTATGGAAACGCCTTTTTCAGTACTACTAAGCCGTCTAGGCAATATGGACTTGAGCTATATAGCTCACCTACCCAAACATTTAGTGAAAACCTGTCTGACTGACTTACCCATAGCATCAGAACGTCAGGCTGCTATAAGCCAGTGCAAAACGGAGCAATTTGCTTGCTGAACTGGTCGAGTTGGAACGATCGACCCCACGAAACGAATTCCTCCATCTTCCGTGCACAGTTTGTTATAAGAAAGACTCTCCAAAGTATTTTAGACTTGTGACGATGATTATCAGTCTCCTATATGTGACAGGCAGGACCATGGTCCGCATTTTTTCAGTAGTTTATTCGCAAGTATTCTAAAAGAAAACGCATCCGAAGAACAGTATGGATTTCGAAGCGCTTGAAGAGCGACCTACTTACCAAACATCACTCTGCAAGTTCTACCACAATATACTAAAGTTTTTGTGACAAGGGCAAACATAAACGTTTTGGACGGCGACTGCCTCAGCTATTAATTTCACGCTGTACCACATTGTTTTTGGTTGGCCACCGGGTTCTTAAACACCGACAGGAACCCCTGAGTTCGCATTGCTATGTGCCGTTTAAACCTTATGCTTCACAATGGGGATGGCTGTCAACTTGTCTGTTTTGACAGCCCTTTAGAGACTTCCTACAGAGCTTGATAGAAATACGATCAATGTACCCTGCAGCACATTAGCAGGTAAGCGAGTTTGGGCGCAAACAAACGCTCCGCATTGGGTAGAAGATATCGTTTTTTGTAAGTGCATCAGAATCAAATAATTGCTTCGCAGAATACCTTTCACAAAAACGAGTAGAAAGCTCCTTATTTAATAGTTTAGTCAACACATTACTTTTTAACCAAGGTGTTATTCAACAGATTTTCTCTTAGTTTAGATCCTCGTGGAGGGATTTGCTTTTTGCTAACCCTATAATAGGGCAATCGTCAATCGAATTTCTCCCAATTGCTTCTTTTTAACTGCTTATTCGGAGCATATCTGTGTTGTTCTTCTGTTGATATGTTTAGTGATTTTGATTGGTCTTTGTCGTGTNAACGATGCCGTTCATACCGTGCGGATGGTCTGTGTGCAAACATCTCTGGGAGCCTCACAGATATCGTTCGAAACCAATCAATTGGTAATAAGAACAGTTGCCCGATTCTTCCTCTTACTAGGTCTGTTAACTTACAAGTAGAAAGTCCCTACTTGATTGGCAATTTGCTCGACGAACTTAGAAATTGGATTAGCTTACAAGTCAAAGTGACACCATCAGTGCTTTCTGGATAGAAGTTGTTCGTGCATGGAAGTCCCCATCTCTAAGACTTGAACTAACAACGTTCTCTCTAACTGCAGTTGTTGATTATGATGGTAAAAGTGTCATCCACATTCACATATCATCAGTGTATAATTTCGGCACGGTCCTCATGCCAAAACTGAGTTCTCGTGGACTATCTGGATAAAGAGAAAAAATCGCTGCAAATTTGGTTTGCACAAAACATAAAAGTTATCTGGCGGAGAGTTACAATGGTCAGACCCCGGTGTTTTTTTAACGAAAAACCGTCATTTCACAGACCTTTTGCAATGAAGGCTGTCCTGTGTTTGCGACGTAACAATCCAGAAGGAAAATTCAGTGGCAATTTTCTATGAAACAGGGGCTGAGATCTTTACAAACAGATCAGAAAATTAATTTTCCGGTCTTATGAGTTTAAGCTATCGAAATTTTATTGCCGTAAAACCCATTATACCTTCATCCTCTTATGTCCCCGATAGGTTTAGCCGCAGGTTAGGTCGAAGGTGAACGCCACTCATTGACGCAGCAATTTTGAGCGTGGATTTTTGTTTCTGAAGCCATTAACGCGTAACTGCCTTCCAGAACTGCGAAAAGGGAATGAAGAAATTATTTTTTAATAGGAGAAATCCAAGTGACAATACTTTCTGCCGGTCGCCAAACATTGGAAGCGACGGCCAATGTCTCGAACGCTTTGTGCGGTTACACCACTAGTTCTTTTGGACAAGCCTTGGTTTAGATTAATAAGTAGTTTGACACGGTATCGGGCGAAACGGTTACAGCAGGTGATGAAGCTTTTGAAAGTATGTTAAAAGACAATCAATACATGACACCTCAGTTTGGAAACAGAATCCCGAATAAACATAAAATGAAAGAAACCATACTTCCGCGGACAGACTCTACCTGTCTGCCTCCTAGGCCGGTACTCCAAATTAGCACTGCTGGGATCAAGCCCCCAAAGATTCTCGCCCGCATTCACCTTTATTCACTCAAAATTCACATCTAATATGACACATATATGCCTACTGGAGTTGAGTTGAGTTGGTTACACTGATGAGCCTTCTTTTATTTTCTACCAGTTTAGGTCAACTGTTTTTGGATGTTTGGACGATGAAGTAGAAGTCGCACAAAGTAGCTCAATGGTGGGTCACCAAAGCTTAGGAGTGGTTCTCAGTTGGTGCAGCACCGCTCTGGTAGGTGGGAGGTCAGTTATTCGAAGTTCTTCCCAGTCATACCCGGTTAGGTGTACCTGGATTTCACGTTTCAAATCCCTTCTTACTTACCGACAATTACCTACTAGCCGGGAGGTCGTGCGTTCAAAACTCCTTGAAATTTCATGGCATCCGCACTACTGATGATTCCCAATAAGGATGAAAAACCTGCAGTGCTTCTCGGCTTTTCAGCAGAGCGTGGCATCACTGACAGGGCTCAATCCTAATCGAAGATTATGTTAGGATTCACCTGCAGTGCATAATCATTTCTGCTTTCTGGTTCCTAATTTAGTCCCACAAGCAAGTATGAAATTACGTGTTCAACTCAGAAGACGGGAGGATATGCAAGCGCGTCTTGTGGATGCACCGCTGTGCCTCAATTATGCATCTTGAGGGCTACTGAATTTCCTGGCATAAACCTTGGTTGTACGAATTCTGATGCTGTTATTATGAAATGAGAGAATTCCGTGCAATAAAGTGCAATTAGCATATAAGACATTAGGTGCCATACAGTCATCCAATCAATTCTCTGAGCTTTCCCCCAACGGGTGATCCGTCAAGATAAGGAAAGCTGATGTTCACAAGCCGCTTAGTTGCTTGAAAGTAGTACAGAGTGTGAGTATGTAATAAGCGCAAAGAGTGGTAGGTTAGACTACCTAAATCTACCTTTCTTTGACATGATGCTAACTATAATGACAATGGAGACTAGTTGACAGCTCAATACCGCTCTCGCTCGGTTTAGGGCTCCTTTCGCGAGCGAAATTTTCCGAAATCCCATCGATCCTGTACACACCAGCTTTCTTTCATCAAACGTTCCGAAAAACTAAGGTTCACTAAGCTTTGCACTTTCATATCACAGTATCCCGAAATTCGGATGTCCATGTCAAAATGTCGTGTTCAAGGAAAATCCCTATCTTTACTTGATTTATTCTCCCCCCCCCCCCCGATTGTCCCAAAATGGGATCTTATACCGTTCATCAGGTTTCCGATTCCGTTAAACTACTCTGGTTTCAAAAGACTGCGCCACCTTTACTGGCAGGGAGGAAATCGCGAGAGTGAGGCACGTGACTGATCGAGGTAACAGACACATCCGCTTGCACTGGATTGTAAATACGGCGGTTATCAGTGCGAATGTAGCAATGCAAACTACCAATAGTGGATCCTGTATCGGTGTTCTGAATAGCGATCAGTTTTTGCATGTGCTGACAAACAGTAGTGACTGTACTATCATACGCTTAGTCCGATTATTTTGGAAACGCAGCTAATCGGTTTCTTTGTACGAGAAAACAGGGGGACGTGCAAGGGACTGATAAACCGAAATAGTTGGCCTTATATGCCATTTCTCTGCTCATTGTGCTTACCAAATAGGCCGAGACATAAGTGCACTCCGGTGATGCTACGTCATCACAGTAAACATTGTGGAAAAAAGTAAACACATGATCCAGCATAATGACTGTCCCTAGTACCGCTGTCATGTTGCGCTGCACTGTCACGGATTAGTACGTGGAAGTTCTAACTCGGTAATTGCTACAACACATTTTAGTGACGAATATATGACGTATGGACACGTGAAAGATTAGTGCTTTCCAGCTTGCTACACAGTCTACAGTGTAAGTAGGTAGTAGGTAGTAATTAGGTAGTAATTAGGTAGTAAGTACGTTTATGAAGTGGCTGGTAGGATGTCACAATGGCCAGTTACCGTTTGGACGCGCACAGTACGTAACACACTTTAGTCTAGTCTTGCACCTCTGATTCTATGAACATTAGAGCGAAAAACAAGTTTTATTCAAAGATATCTTGAAGCTATATAACGATTCAGCTTAATATTGGCTCCGCAAAACACATCTGGTCACTCAGGAAACCCAAGTGAACAGATTAGCTGCAAATCTTTGAAGCGGTTCCAAACTTAAAGTCATTCTAACCAATTCCGATATGTCTCGAACATTAAAAACGGCTGATTAAGGGTCAGTGGCTCTACGGACTCGAAAAATATTTATGAGCTCAGGCAGAATAGTAGTTATGCGGCGACTTTTGTGAAATCGTTTATTTAAAGCGACAGAGGCAGCGCATCTCAGATCTCACGAGTAACCTTGAAAAATGAAGTTTTTTGTTTGGACTCACGACGAATATATTCTCAACTGTGTTACAAGTATTCTCCAGCACAAACGGTGATTTATCGTCTTGTGGGAATTAAAAGCCATCTTTAATGAGGGTTAATGATTATCATCACAATTTGCGGGCATCACTTCGGTATGGGAGACTGGCTTGTTAACAATGTGTCCATCATCCCCTTAACTCTACCAGTTCCTACAATTTATACTGATTAGACGGAGTATGCACCGAAGTTTCCAAACTAGACAGGCCAGTAGTGGAAAACATTGTTTTACATATGCGTCTCACAAGCTGTGAAAATGCTTGATAATGAGTGAATTTTCGACACATTTCTACATAGCGGTGTATCGTTTAAACCATTTCGGTGTCTTGGATATCGTTCCCTCCGAAAAATGAGGAAGCCATCGCACTGTGTCACATTCAGTTGATGGATATCATAAATAGGGGATTCATTTCAGCCTCAAATTGCAAACTTTCTCTTTGAATCCCTCCAGGTTGTTGTCAATGGAAAACGGTTTACACTTTACTCGTATTTTACTCGCATTATTGCTGGACATGTATAAACAGCTTCCTAATCTGAAGACAACAAGTCAGTCTAATTTCATGACCATATTAAACTAATTTGAAGAATGTTCTTTGCGTTCTCTACGTCATGCATTCTGTCTATCAGACAAAGGAGAAATACTGTCATTATTCACCGCCACAATGATTTTGTGAAATATGTCAATGAGTCAAACATGACAGGGACTTCAAAAGGAACCGTCTTATGGAAACATTTTGTGTGAGTAAATAAGAATGCTATGAAACTTCAGTCTGAATTGGTATTGTAAAGACTGAGACAGAGAAATATGTAAATAAGTGGAAGATAAGACTTAAAGATAATGGAACGGTCACGGATAGCGCACAGCCCAATGGAAGCGCTGACCAGAAGCGTGACGGAATGATCTGACTAGGTTTCTTATCGCGACCGAAGCAATACGTATGCGTGGACAGAGAGAACCAGAGTACATGGTCTCCTGGCGATTCCCTCGTCTCTCTATCGGGTTCCAATTAGATAAGTGGGACGTTGTGGGGGGTTTTGAAGGTTCTTTTCCCACTAAATGGGCACCCATAACCTTTGATTAATCTTTATTCGGAAGGTTCGAATCGTACTAGTCGTACTAGAATGTCAAGGTCCTCAGGGATAAACGTCCCGTTATTCCAACAGCTTGTTCAGACAAGCTGACAAATGGTGTCCCTCTTTCAGTTGGAGCCAACCTTCAATACCTAGAACCAAGATGATAACTGGTTGAAAAAAAACACTAAATCGATGCATGTTTGACGTGATGCGCCGCAATATTCCATTTAAACAGAAATTTAGGTCCTGAAAGTTCCTCCGTGGCTTTAGTGGTAATTTTTCGTGTCTGCTACAAATACCCTTCCCTAAAACGCTTTTCTGTTGTGTCCATTCGTTCCTATAGTGCTCGCATCATACTCATCTGGTCGTCTGACATATCCTGAGAGAATATCTTCCTCGTTCAGGTAGATATGGATCGCCCTACCTAATGTTTCTGTTGTACGGCCATAAATACGACGAGATATTGGTGACGGACCGTCCAAGCGGGCTTTTTCTAGCCGGTTGTTGAAGTGAAATCTCTCGAAATCGGATCAAATTCACCTCAGGACGCCAGTTAACCGTTCAAATTCGTGTTTACAACTTCCCAAAGGACTGCGAAGTTGATGCTTTTCAAAAGAGCTTTTGCCTAATACAATAAAAAACCCAGGGATTTGTCCTTTGTAGAGGATGAGGTTACTGATAAGGGGCTGCAGCTGCTGCCTTCACCGATAACTCATGAAGACATCTGCCATGGCAATCCCGTCTGTGTATCTGTTGAGTCATGTTTTATCCACAATCTGCTCCTTGAAACTCCGGTGTAAAATAAACCCCTTGACAGTTTTTTTTGCAGTTGGATAATTGGATATCATGACTCTGAATTTAGTCAAAGATACGGTCGTACAAACCCCCAACTAGCCAATTCCTGCCCAAAAGTATATACTATGCCTCCTTCTATTACAGTCTGGCATTCCCAAAAATACGCTTCGGACGGACTGGGCTGAATGTTTTAACAGTTTGATGAATGCAATTCGAATTTTCACATTAGTCACGGAGTAAGTATAATGGAGCTAGAGTTTCGAAGAAGCCACGCCCAGATCAACTGGTAAAGGGGAATGGAAGCGAACTGAAACCCTCCTGTAGAGATGCTATATCGTACAATGCCGCAGAGCAGCGTATATGATCGTTGGTTCACAGGTGATGTATAAAGCGGCCTTCCGATCCCAATTAAGCTTCGCAGATCAGATCGACACTTCACTAGCTGAATGACGTGCAAATTTCAGTGAGCACTAGAAGGAACACCACTAAATCTGTGGCATCTGTCTTGGTGTAATTTCCCCCAAAATGGAGAACGCCCTGTTCGACCGAAGATTACGACGACGTATGAAGATACAGTGCCTTCCCGTGTAATAAGCTGATTTGATGAAAACATGTTTGAAAATCACATGTGAATGTTGGTTGAATAGCTACGTAGTGTGTGGTATCACTGGTCAGAAACCTTTGGTACACATGGCTTGATGAGCGATTTATTCATGCAACAATCCGGCACAGTCATCCGGCTTGCTCAGTTCAGTAGGCGATAGTAAAACACGGCGTCGGTCTCTTCTAGTGAACAGCAGGAGCAATACATCCACACCAACTACAGACTAAGCAGTCCCTTGTTTCTTATTTTAGAAGCAAGCAACAGGGACTTGCTCTGACTTTGAGCAGTTATCTAATGTGTGCCGGCAGAATATTCACATTAGAGCATAAAGAAGCCAATTCATTATGTATCCCA